AAAATTAAGCATTGGGACAGGGGCCGAAAGAGGATATGAAATCTCCATCTTTGGAGGTTTTCAAAGACCTAAGTGATCTGGTCTGAATTTAGTGTTGACCCAGCTTTAGGCAGGAGGTTGGACTATGTGAATTCTACAGGTTTCTTCAAACAACACTGATTTTTTTTTTTTTTTTTGATTCTGACTATCTCGGTACATTTTATTCGTCAGTGCTGAAGGGCTAGAAGTTGCAGTACTAGAGTCAAGTAGTGCTTGCTGCCTTGCTGTTTTGAAAGCACATGAAGAGAAAATGAGGGCTGATAGTGAAGAGGAGCCTCGGCATGAGGAAATAAATGTGTATTTTGGTTCTTCGGACACATGTTTCAGTTTGAGATGCTTCGGCAGGCTTTCTGTGCAAGTCTGGAGGTGTAAACATTTCTGTTTCGAGTCCTAACTGGTGTAGTGAGATTTCTGTTGGGATGTTTCTGGGTTACAAAAATGTCTGCCTAAAATGACTTTATCATCCCTTTAGTCTGCTGTGAAGTATATGGTTTGTTTTAAGGCTCATTGAACCTTAAAAATGCTCTCAAAATATTCTGATATCAGTCTTGGCTATGTATGCAACGCATGAAAGGAAGTTTATTTCTCTCCTACAGATGTTTGCTCTAATTGCCTGTGTAACAATAATATTTAAGTGCAGAAAAGGCATATTAGGGTGCTTACAATGTATTCATATGAAACACAGGGGGATCCTTCTGCCCTATTTGAAAATGAAAAATAAGCTGTTCTGGATTTTTTGGGCTTCTGGAGCTTGTTTGAAGTATGCTGAAGATGGGGAAAATTCTATCCTGTTTCCTCCCATCTCCTTTCCCTTCAGATGATATGTTGGCAAGATGAAGAGATGAAGGTGGCTAATGAGAGCCATTTTCATGTTCCGCTGATCTTGAACTTCCCGATAGAGGGAGCCCATAGACCAGCGCCAGGACCAGTTGACATCAGCGCTTGCTTGGGCTGTTGAGGGTTGCAGGAAGGGCTCAAAATAAATGAGCAGTGAGATAATCCCCCGTCCCAATGGAAGATATGAGGCTGCAGGGGTGGAAGGAGCTGTTCTGTGAGAGGAAATGCTAATTTTTAAGATTTTTAGGAAGTTTTGCTTGTCAACAAACTAGCACTTCTGTTCAATAAAAAAGTTCCCTAGAAGTTCATTTTAGAAAATACAAGGCTTGAAGAGGCTGCAGTTTTCACTTTTTATTAAAAATAAAATGGTTGAATTAGTCAGGCTTATGTCAGATGTCAGACATTATACTTAGTGGAAATCCTTAAGAAGCCAAAGAACTGACTCTGCTGCTTCTTCTCTGTATTTAAACAGATGGTTCCAGCACTGCCTATTGCTGTGTTAAATCCCTATGTCAAGCCAAAACCATTAATAAGCTTTTATTTACAATGCGTTACCAGATAACAAAAAGCAGCTAATGCTTTTTGTCGGTGGGTGGGTGGGTTGGGTTTTGTCTCTTTCATGTAGAATAGCAGTATCCTGGCACTTCTCATCTGCCGTTTGCAAAGCTTTCTATACGGAACAAACTATTATCTTTGGCGGAATGGAGAAGGAAAAATGAGAGATCCGTATTTGACCCACACACTGGGCTGGTGGCTGACGTCTGATTGGCCCAAAGTCTTCTGGGGCCAGCTCAGTGCTTTGGTCTCTAAACCAGATGGCCATTTCTGCTTTCATTCCTTGATGGTAGGCTGTACAGGCTTACAATAAAAAAATGTTTTTAGGATATTTCTAACCTGTAAGATGTAAACAGCCATTTGTGGGTGGCAAAACTACACTTAAAATTTTTATTTTTGTTGGTATTAGTAAAAAAGAAGAGCCACAATAGCATAACCTTTGCACTGTAGGACAGTATATGCACAACCCAAGAGCCCATTCCAGCCCCAAGATGTTTTCCAAGTGATATATTTTCATTAGAAGAAATCATAAATCCTCCTTTATTTTCAGATGCTTCTTCAAGGGTTTCTCTATTTGTTCTCAACTGGCAGAAGGAAGTCACACTACTGCTGACAATACCTAAGGAGGGACACTGAGAAAGACTGCAGATGCACACCCTTTCCTGATAAAAGGAAAAGTGTTCCCAATGCCATTCTCAGAACTGTAGCTCTGCTGCTCTTCGAGCACAGTTTGCTTACACCTTTACAACAGAAATGGCTGGCCCTCAAGCTCAAATGTCATTTGCATGTTATGAAAAATCTCTTCCCTTCTCTTTCCCCTGACTTCTCTGTGTTGACCTCCTCTTGTGGAAGCAGTTTTGGGTACTAATGTTGTTTTGCCTCCTCAGCAAGCATCATATCACCCAGATGTGAGTGAAGAAGTTCGAGAGAGAGCCCTGCGCTTTGGAACAGAATGTACCCTGGGATACTTGGAACTCCTGGAACATGTTCTCCTGGTAAGGAGTTGTCTGCATGCATATATGGGATCCCTTCTAAGGAGAACAATCTCTCTGACCTCTTTCTATAGTGGCTGCTAGTGACACATTTTTGTCAGTGTCACAAGATTATGAACAGTTTTGTTATTCAGGAAAAGCAAGCTAAAGTAAACTCAGTACTTCAGCTCAAACTGTGAGACAGAAGGAAGACTGGAAGTACTTAAATGGGACTGAATTCTGGATCAGATCTGGAGGCAGTACAGGTCCTGACCTAAAAACGGTCCCCGACAAAGAAATTAAAATAAGACTCTTCAGTATTCATTTAAGCCCATTATAAGCATTAGACATATTAGGCACACTCCTGTCCCCCGACCAAAGAGGTTATGTAATCTTTATGAAAGCACTTTTACATGCCTTTTGCAGTCCAGGAAAATAAGAGGCACCTACTCAATGCCATCCCAAAACCCCAAGCCAGCACAGCCTCACAAAGAGCTCTCCAACTCATGCCAGACATGACACCCTTAAAGCTCTGCATAAAACTTCTCCACTCAAATCCAAACTCATGAATCCTGCTGTCAGTTGGCTTTTCTTGACCATACATAATTATCATGTAATATATTGTTCTTCTGTTGCTATTACACTTGCAGGAAGCAATAATGTGTGTTTGAACTAACATTTGTGAGCTATTGAAGTTTCTGGAGGTGACTTAAATCAGCAATCAGCTTCATGGATGCCCAGAGATTTCTCTTAAGTGGCTTTAAGCTGACATATTAAAGTCTCTGAAACTGAAATTTGCAGCCACTAACTGCAGATTAGCAAATCCAAGTCAGCTTTACTGCTGAGAATATAGCATGTCTAATCATTTACATCAACTCATTGAAATATACATAACATAGAAATAAAGTCACAGTTATGCTCGCCACTAGCAGGGAAAATAGTTCAAGAAAGATTGAACTTGTTAATGTAATTCCTAGAGCTGCATAGCAGTAAGTAATTTAGAATTAGATGTGTGATCCATTTTTAGTTTAGAAGTAGTTTGGGGAATTTTTCAGGTTTGATCTCTTGAACTCAGTCATAGTGCTTGTTCCAGACTATATGCCAGAACAGACCAAAGACTTGAGTCAATTTTTGCTCATTTTATTTTTCTCTCTCTGATTAAGTAAAGAGGCTTAAGGTAAGAAAGGCGTGTTTCTCCGATAAAACAGAACAGGCCTTTCTTACCTTAAGCCAGAACAGGCCTTTCTTACCTTAAGCTGCTGTACTTTCAGGGCCCTAAAGCCATGAGAAAATTCCCCCCCTCCTCAAAGTTAGCTGCTTTAGAGAACTGACTCTGACCCGGATTACAACTACAATTGAAGAGCATAATGCCTGCATGGAAAAAAAGATATATGGAATGATAACTTCATCTTGACTCTTTGCTGAAGCCTGTCTAGAACTAGTCACATACACACATAATACATCCATGCTGTGCTCCATAAACGTAAACAGGATCTGGAAAGTAGATGAAAAAAAGATCACTTTTGGAGGAGCATTGAACCAAGTAAATGACAGACTTTTTGCTGTAGGGGCTTTTGCCCTCTATCCCTTGAGTTCTAACTCTTGGGAGTTGTGGCAGAGACACAGTCTAGATGTAATCCAAGTGATTTGTTTGCTTGTTCTGTGGTTACCTGAGCTGTCCTCCTGCCGTACACAGTCTTGCTAACTTAATATCCTAGCTCAGATTTGGTCTGCTCAGATGAAAGAAAACGATAGCAAGATGGTTTCAGTGTCAGACGATCCTGTTGCTTCCTGATCTCTGTTACTGTGGTAGTTTAGAACCCCTAGGTCTACAATCTCATTTAATTTATAACCTCCAGAAACGCAGATCATCTCAGATTAGAAATCTCTGATTAGTCCACATGGCACCTTGTGATACAATTATTAGTAAGTTCAGTCATGCCCTTGGTAGTCAGGCTAGGGGTGATTGCATGGGTGTCTCAACACAGGGATGCCAAGGAGCACTGTTCAGCAGCCGTATTTCTTTGAAAATGATACCTTTTAGGTGCAAGAGTTGTCAGATGCAATATCTAAGATTAAAGCCAGTGTATTGACTTGTGCAGAGGCTGCATTGGGCAAGTGGCACAAAACTGACTTGATTGCTCAAAGGAATATTCCTCTAATGACCTAGCTAGGGGTAGGGCGTGGGCATACACTGATTAAAGCTGTATGGCATGCACAAATTCGTATAAAACAACTTGTAAGTTGTATTCTTAGCAAGGTTAAAGACTGACCTGTCCTCCTAGATATTCATATGCTCCATCTCCGTCAGTATTGATGCATGCTGAGTTGAGGGGAATTCTGAAGCTTTTGTTGTTGTTCTTATGCCATGCCTGCACATGACTCTGCAGGGGATGAGAATCTGCTGTGAGTTCTAAATTGGCTTTAAAACAATGCAGTTTGTAAACAGCCTAATTTTAAAATTTGCATCCATTTGTTCAATTCCAACACTGTCACCACTATCATAGGTAGCACTAGTGTCACAGTTTTTGGAGCAGAAAACGTCATTCTTTGCTATAGTCCTAACCACATTTGTGTATTTTTGGACATGTTTGCTTGTGTGGGAAGATAACTCTTGAGATGCTCAATTTCTGCCATACTAAGGGATTATGCAGTGTATAAACCTTGGTTATACCTGTGTTCTTACATTTTGTTAGCATTGCAGATTATTTAGCTATTGAGGATTCATGTCCTTCTGTTTACTATGGAAACTAGTTGACTAAAGATCATCCTTAGGAAGCAGGAGACCAGTCCACCCATACGTTGACATGGCAGTTTGAGAGATAGAATTCCTCATATGGCAGAGTTCTGACCAGGCAAAGTTAAGAAAACAATTCAGTTTAGTTTATTCTGTCAAAGTAAGGGCTTAGGCATTTGACTGCAAAATGGGAAGCACGCTCACAAAAAGATAAAATGTATTTTCAACGTGCACCTAGTTTTCAGAGCTGCTTTGCCAGGGGAGTTTTTGAAAACATTAAGAAAATGCACACCTGAATGTGACTTTCGAGACTCAACCTCTTGTTTTGCTCTTAAATCTCTATATGTATCTGTCACTCTCCTCTCAGAAGTAGTTGAGTATACATGAATTTCCAGAAACTTAATTTTTTTCTCCTTACAATATGGTAATTAAAAATGCAAACGTTGTTCCTGTTTAGGGGAAGAATTCAACTTCACTGTCTCAATGTCTGACTGTGTTCCATTTGAAGAAGCACAGTTTAATACTTGATGCAAATTCAGTTCAGAGGTGTCTGTCTTTCCCTTCTATTTAAGGGTCTTGCCCAGGGTTGGCATTTCCATTGTGTTCACCATTGCTGATTTTTTCCAGAACAGGCAACTAGCGCTAGCTTGCAGAACTCTGTAATTCTATTTCTTAGAAATAGTGACTAACCGGTTTGTTAATACTAGAAAATCAGCTCCTCTCCCGCAGTTTAGAAAGACTAAGCCTGATGTGTAAGTATAATGACTGTAATATCTGAGAATGGAGTGCTAAAGCTGCATATTCCTCCCACATACTCACACATGTGCCTCTGTTTTGGAGAATTCTGTCCTAGTTTCAGTACTGAGAACTTCCGGAGAATAGTGTCAGTTCCTGTAGAAATGCAAGGCAGTGCCGCTTTCCTAGTATGCATCAGATGTTGCAGTGTAAGCCTTTGCTCCTAGTGATTCATTGACAGTTGTTTGTCTCTCACTGGACTCATGTTTTCTCTCAGCCGATCACTGTATAAAATAAAGCTTTCACTAGTGTGCCTTGGGAATGTTCCAGCGTTCTTTGGAATCCTTACTAATATGCATTATTACATTTTATCTTTTTCTCTAGATCCTTCAAAAAACAACTCCAGAACTAAAGCATCAGTTGGCCTCTTTCTCCAAGCGGGTTGCTGGTGCTGTTACAGAGCTAATCCAATCAGCAGAAGCAATGAAAGGTGAGTGGGGCAGCCTGGCTACCAGTATGGTGTGCTTTTTACTCCAGAGATGATGATCTGTCATTTTTTTAGTTTAAAACAAAACCAAAACCTAACAAAACCCCTTTTAGTATGTTCTAGGTGTCTTGGTAACACCTACTTCTGTTCTTTTAATTTCTCTGCTGGTATTCACTTGTTCACAGTGTTGGTAAACATGTCTATTTGACCCTCTTCCGCTTCCTATAATCGGTCGTAAGTCGTCTGTAAATCATGTGGCCTTTGAAGATGGAACCATCAAACAGAGCACTCAAGAGCCACAGTAGCAGAAACAAAATACAATATGACTCTTCTTGAACTCGTGGCTGAATTGTAATTGGATGGCTGGTTCCTTTCCTTACACTCTTGTTTGTTCAGTCAAAATAAGTCTTTTGCTTTGCAGTGATAGTTGCTTTCCAACTTCAAATAAAAGGGGATACCATCATCTTACTGAATTAATACTCAGTTTCTAGCAATGATGTCAATTTTAGGCCTGTAGTGCTTACAGTCCTCTGTCTGGGTCGTGCTCTGACAAAGTATGTTAATGAAACAATGAAAAATTGTGGTCTGGATGATTTCCTGAACCTTAGAATTTAACAACTTGTGGACAAATATAAATTCAGCACTCAAATAAGCAATGAATTCCATTGCTTAGGTGAAGTTCACTGTTCTTATAACAGATGAGTGATATTTTTCTCAGATACTGACTTCCTTAGTAAAATTTTTATCCAGTGATGCATGCGAACTCTTAGGATGACAGTTCTAACATTCTACATTTTAAATGAAATTAATACATATTAAGGGTGGTGTTATTAAATATTAGACCACTATTGCTGAAGCACATCTACTACCAGATTTACTGGGAACTTTAGTCTAAAGAAATCTTCACAGCCATCAGAAAGGCATATGAGCATTCTAATCTCATAGGTAACAGAATGCTACAGTAAAATATTTTGAATAAAGCATTGCAATCACTTTTTTTTTTTTAATTCTGCCCCCCCACACACACACACAAAGGCTTCTAGTAAATTCCTATTTCTTCAATCATTCTTTCCTAAGGTAGGCCAGAGAACACTGTAGGTTTTCCTTAGTTATTTCCTGCTTCTATCAGTACACATTCCTTGGAAAAGAATACTGACTAAACACTTTTCATATGTGGGAATCCTTATTATTTTTTTATGTTTTTTTTTTCCTCTATGCCTTAATATAGTTACTCTGTTTCATATAACAGTGATCTACATTATGCTTTTTCCCTGTTAAGGTAAATTTATTGAATTCTTCAGCCTTTTCTGCACTCTTTCTTATGTTTCGAAATTTCCGTTTGCATTTGCTAACAAGCCAAGCCAATATCAGAATTTTTCTATTCTCTAAATACTTTTTAAAAATCTGTTTATTGTCCTCATCTTTGGAGACTTTTATTCATTTCCAGTAGTTTTTGCATTTTAATTCATATTATTAAAATAAAAATTCACTTTTTATTTCTTTTTTCACTTACTGCCTGTAGGGGATTTTTTTTTTTATTCACTTTAGAAGCTTTTTTGTTAGAGGTCTTTTCCAACCTAAATGATTCTATGATTCTATGATCATAAATAGGAGCCAGTTATTTTTTATTCTCCTGTGATTTGGTCATCCATAGCAGAAACTGCCTCATTCTTTAGCTGGTGCAGTGTTGATTCATGAGCATTGAAGATTATTTCCTTTGATGTTTGATGAATCAGACATGGGATATGCTATTCCTGATGAAAAGTGCCAGTATCCTTCTCCCCGGTCACTCTTCCTTAATAATGATTAATGTTTCAGCTGATATTTTAATATTAGGTTCACCCAAACTTTCTGATCCAGTTTCAATAAGTTTAACAAGGCCTTAAGAGAATTTTTTTTTTCCCTTTGTTTTTTTTCATTCTAGCTTAGTTTCTCTTTGCCTGGTGTACACTGCTTGCCATCCTTTTCTTTTTCCATCTGTGATGCCACTTCCTCCCCTTGCCCTTAGTAGTTATGAACTTAGAAGTTTTCTTTCTGGTTTCCTTTTCTCTCTCCATTTGATTTTCCTTTTGGCTGTTTCATTGCTTCCCTTAATCCAGAACATGGATGCTTTTTGAATCTTGTCATCCAGAGGATAATGTTATGAAAATGAAAATAATAATGCACTGAGAACTTCCAAAAATCTGAAATCACCTCCAGCCAAGTATTCATTTTGTGGACCTACAAAATTTCTTTGAGCCAAAAGAAACGCTAAAAACTTAACAAAAAAAAAAAAAGAAGTTGGCCTTTGGATATGTTACAGAAACTGCTTTGGCCTTCTCTACATTGCTGTTAGAAACACACTGCCAAAAGCATGCTTTCTTCAGACAATACTAGCTTCATCTCTAACCACTGCCAAAAAAGAGACTCTGAAAAGTGTGCTGTGGATGATTATCTGTTGACTATAACATGTCCTCTTTACCATTCTGTCAGACTTCTCAATGTACCTTACAACTTGGTCAAGTTAGAAACTAAGAACTCTGATAGTAAGAGCTCTGATAAATGAAAGTTGAGTGACAGCTAGTTTTGCTCCCAGTATGGACAGTATCCCTTTTGAAGCTGCTTTGCTTACACAGTTCTTAATTAAGTTACTTTCATAACAGAGTAATCCTGTTAAATACTTTTTTCACTTTGACTTATATTTTGCTCTCAGTGGCATAAACTACAGTGTTTTTCATGCCATTATGGTACTAAAATCAGCTTTCTACGACGTGCATTCCATATTTGACACTTGAAGTGTGATTGTAAATCACCCTGTTTGAATGGCAGCTCAAGTGGCACTGAAGTTATTGTCTTCGTCTCCATTAATTTCAGGGACAGAGTGGGTGGATCCAGAAGACCCAACAGTCATTGCGGAAACAGAGCTACTAGGGGCTGCAGCATCAATTGAGGCTGCAGCAAAGAAGTTAGAGCAGCTGAAACCAAGAGCCAAGCCAAAGGTGAGTCCGTCCCCATTGTTTCTTTGATGTTAATAAAGCAGAAGATGCATATAGCCCATATATTGGTGTATACTTTGTTACTGTCCACAATAATGCTATAAACAATCAAACCTTGCATCAGTCTTAGTGCCACTAGACACTGCCCTGGATGGGACTTACCCCTGAAAGAAGAGGGTAAAAAGATGTTTGTCAGGGAGTGAGTCAAGCACCAGCCATGAGCAAGCAAAGGAAGAAAAGCCGAATGTTAGAAATGCTTTTAATAGTTACAGTATCGTTACTGTTGATTATTTACTTTTCTGTTTCCAAACACATTTTACTGATGTGAAAAGTCATTCTCACTTGCTTTCCTTTGAAGACCCTTTGTTCTCATCTGAACGTGTGTAGTATAGCAGGAGAAATCAGCAGCAACACAGAAGGGATTCAGCAGAATGCAAAAGACCTTCAGGATTTTCTAACATTAAAAACATAGCATTTTATGCCATGCTAAAAGAGTAGCTGCTTCAGTATCAAATCAGATATGTGGTATGACCATTTCTATTTAATTTTCCTGAAGGAAAATAAATTACAGTTCATTATGAAAGTGTTGCATGTTGCCAGGTCATTTCAAACGTGTCTCTGAATATATTATATAAAATTAAGCCAACTATTTTCATGCATGGTACAGAGGCAATGAAACTGCTGTTACTTATGGTTGTATGCATAGCTCACAAGACTGGATCAGAGGAAATTGCTACCTTTTGTCTAGTGTGGAATAACAGGCAGGTTTTAGAAGAATTTACCATGTTGCCTAGAATTGCATCTCTTTAAAATGAAAATCATGCTTTGGCTATGTAATTGACTTCAGGAAAGGACTATGTATCTATTTCCCTGTTTATGCTGCCTTGTAGGTGCAAAACTGTTTTCTAACTAAAGCTAATGAGAAGTCTTTCTAAAAAGCAGGGCCTCAAGAACATTCAGTGTTGGGTGATTGTTTTTGGTGCAGGGTAGTATTTTGTCATTCAGGAACATCAGATGAAATAGTTCTTGGTAGCTTCACTCTTTGAGGACTACCCACCCACCCCCCCTGCCTAGTGATGGGAATAAATTAGCTCATGAAAAAGAAATGCTCTTTGTCCTGCATTTTTTAACAAGTACATCTATTTTGTTTATAAAGAAAAATGGTCCTTTATAATGAGATTCGACAGAGCAGAGGACACAGGCTGAGTCTGAGGAGAGGAAGAGTCCTCCATCACCTTTTCTATACAATCACTGCACAATAGCATATGTGTGTTGCCTAGTAACCATGGAGCAGTTTCCTTCCAACATCTAAGCCACTCCAGGGTTATTGTAATTTCCCAGTGAATACAGATCTCACACCTGCTCCTCATTTAACATGTTAATTTGAGTATCCAGTCTGCCTGTGATTTATTGGTCTGTTTATTTGTCATTTTCTGAAACTAAAATTCATATCCAAGTGTTTGTTTAATTTGGGATTTAAACAGCCTTTACATCCTTTTTTAGATGTTTAATCCTTTTCACCATATGGATTGTAACAGACATCAAAGGTACTAGGAAGATCACAGAGTGGCTCAAATACCACTTTTTCTGCTGAGGACTTGTAGCTTGTATCCTCCCAGAGTAGGATTTCCTGCTTTGAACAGGCTCTGTCTTTCTGATGCTTGTCTTTGACAACATACGTAGTTTTGTAGTGTGAATGCGTAGACTAGATAAGGGGGTTGATACAATTGATTTTTCTTATGCTTAGTCTACGAAATGCAGGAATAGTAGCTATCTTCTACAATGGAACAGACCAACATCCTGCCTTGGTTAACAGTAATCATCATCAAGTGAACTTGCAGAGAAGTCCTTAGTTGGTAATTTTAGAATAATCTGCCTGCAGGAAATCCATCATCTTCATCATTATTAATTGGTGGCTGATTCTCTATTTTTGGGTAAGCTTCTGTTATTGGGGCAGGGAGTGGGAGTCATTTGATTTAGGCTTGAAATTTTCATCTTTGTGTGTTCCAGTTTGTCTATTACCTCCAAGAAAAAAATCAATAGTTGAAGGTAGGGTTTTTTCTCATTTGTTCCACTATCTTAATTTTTTTGATACTTTTGGATTTTTTTAATTCTTCCTTTCCTTGTTTTCTCTTCATATTTTTGCACCTATCATACCCCCTTGATGTCTTAGACTGAGACCAATAGCATGAGATGTCTTCATTTTCTACTACTGGGAATCACCTTATCCCAGAGAACAATCTCTAGTAGGACACAGACCTGCTGATTGCTGCCCATGTTTTATTGTATGATGCATATTCTGTTTTGCTTTAAATCCTGGTCGTTTGGCTGTTGGTGAATGTGCTCCTAAAATGCTTAGTCCACTGCCCCATTGATACCCTGTTAATATCTGTCTTTCTTCTGAGCTTTTATCTTGCAAGGACTTTGAGGACTCTGCTAAGTAGGTGTTGTTACTCCTCCCTGTAACACAAAACCTGTTCAGTATTCTCATTGCAGTGTTCAAGGTGGGGAATGATCTGTGAAGCAGTGAGATCTTTATTAAGCAAGTTTTGGCTGTTCTATTTCCTTTAAATACAGTTATGTTTTTCCTGAGTGTGGAGACTTTTTTTCTGTTTTCCATTTTTGGAGGGTCAAGTGTCTTGCAATGCAGCCACATATTCCTCCTGTTATGCCAATATGCCACAGGCTGTAAAATAACAACCCCCCAAAATTAGTAATTTTTTGAAGAAGAAAAACATTTTGTCTAATAAAAACTACATGCTTCAGTAATACTGGAAAAAGAACACTTTTAAGGAAAAAGGTGCGGTAGGTGAGGTACAACAGCAGAGAGCATTGCTGTACCTACCCTTTTCTGTTGGTATGCTCTTCATGCTTCTATGCAGGCTTATGCCTCCAAACACAAGTGTCTTTAGTAGTCAATAAGAGTTCCCTGCTGTTAGCTTTCAGCAGTTTGTCCTTTTTTTTTTTCCCAAGATGAATCAAACCTGGATGCCTTTTTCTGCAGGACTCTGTGTGATATGTTTGATATATTAGGTTGTTATTTAATCCAACTATATATCAAACATATTCCTACAGTGTCCTGCCCTGTCTCCGGGGGTTTTAACATAGTAGAAGGCAATATGAAGGAGTACATTCACTCACAAGCAGGTTTAGAAGACTTCCTGCAGACTCCTAATCTAATCTGATTTAAAATATATACATGAAGGGCTCCTTTATCAGTAGAGTTGCTCTTGGAGGGACTTTTAAGTTGTGTAGGGCCTTTTATGACAGTGAGCGACAGCCGTGCCAAGAACTGACTTTCACTGAAATGGTTATTGTGTTTTCCATGGCTCAGTGCAGTAACTTACCCATATTGGTTTTCTCTTTATGAAATAGAAGATGACAGCTGCTTCAAAATAAAATGGTTTGTCTTTTGTAACTTTTTTCTACTGTTTAGCAATGAGATTGGGGGCTCATTTGTTCTCCTATTAACCCTGACATTATTTGTGCTACCCCTAATAATGGAGATTCTATAGAAAACTGGTTAAAATGCAGTACAAACACATCTCAAATTATATTTTTTTAATGGCGCAATCAACATTTTCAGGATATTTCATGCTACAGACTTGGCAGCTAGCCTAATAATTTTGGTTTGTCTGTTCTGGTGACTTCATTTTCCAATCCATTTATACCCGTAGATAGTAAATAACAGCTTGTTAGTTTAAGCTTGCGGAAAAAGAGATGCTGATCTTCATTGGGGCTGCTTGAGGAAGGAGAAGCTAATCACTTGTCTCATAGATCTGGTTTTCTAAAGAAACCCAAGTAGCCCTCTCAAGTAACTAAAATCTTACAAGATGAAATTTTCTGTCATGTATCACATCATTGCTCCTAATGTTGTTCATGAAGGCTGTGAACTGACACATATTGTGAGGGTACTGTTGATGAGTGTGAACTTAAGACAGTTCAGGACACACTTTTTAATACTGGGAATGGGTAGAAGAATTACTACTCTTGTAGGGCGTTTTGCTGCTTTCAGTCTTGGACTGCTACATGTCCTTATTGCTAAGGAATGCTCTTTGGAGAGTACAGGCAGGTAAACATACCCACAGCGCTGACTGAGCATTGTGCCTACCTCCCCATTTCAAACATGGCTATCCAGCCCTTAGATGTCATACCTGAGAATGCTGAAGGGAAAACTGCAGGGAAGGACTAGAAAACAAGGATTTGTTAGAAAAGATGAAAACTCAACAGAAGTTCCACAGTTTGAGTGCTGTGTGTAAGGCTGCTTCAAAAATAAATTCTCCACAGAAGGGATCAACTGTCAGCAGAAAACTTTTTTCTTTTTTTCCAGAAATAAAAGAAGTTATGAGATGACAGGAAATGTGGGATTTGGAAGTTTGAGAAACTCACGGTGTGGTTTCTTCTCCCCACCCCCCAAATTTCAATATAATCTGAAAGAAATTCATTTGGTACACGGGGAGGGGGGAAATCTGTTATCTGATGAGATACTAAGGTTTAGCTATCTGTTTTCCTGCTGCGCTTTAACTGCTGCTCCACAGTGGAAGTTAATGCAGCCATTTTACAATAGCATTCTCAGTAATGCAAGATTTGATTTCTCTGCATTCGCTTTGAAAGTAGTCATTTTTGCTTAGCACTTATGTGCAATATTTAGTCCACTCACTATGCCAAACTGAGTTCAGACAACTACTTTTCTTCAGCCTCTTTTTGGTGGCTGGTTTTTCACAAATTGATTACCATTTGGGCATATACACGGCTCCCTAATAGATCAGAGTTACGGCCATGGGCATTTTATTAAACTTTACAAAAGAATGACACCTCCTTTATAATAAATAAGCAGATACTGAAATGCTCACTTGCTTAAGTTTGAGTTCCTGACAATGCTGACATATAAAGAATAATATACATAATATATTTTGTTGTATTGGAAATGAAAATTTTAAAACTCTCAGTAAAAGGGAGCCTTGGACAAAAGTGAAAGTGCAATAACAGTCTGTTAAAAGTAAAAATGCAGTAACAGTCTGTTAAGTTGACTATCATCCAGTGGTACTTTTGTTGATATTTCAGTTTAAAGTCTGTCAACTTAAATCAAAGTCAACAATGCATCTATTTTAATAATGAAAAGAAATCTGATAGTGCCTATACTGAATTCCATTTAGTCACTCTGGGTAAGACTTGAGGCCTGTGCCATAAATTCAGGACCAATGTGATTACCACTTAGATATAATAATGGTCATGATGCAAGCATTGCAAGCATTGCCAAAAATTCACAAACATGACTTGCTCACTTTACAAAGCAATTTCTTATACTCTTATTACAAAGACATATGCTTTAGTTGTGGGATTCGCCCAATAGCAAGGCAAGACAAATACTTCTTGAATTAGGTGGCTTTTCCTAAAGGATAAGAAAAACTTTAAAGTGCCAAACAACTTCATCTACACATCAGTTTTTATTTTCAGATCATTCTGTTTTTCTGGTATCTATGGATGCTACGGTTTCGTCTCCTGCACTTTGTTTTAGTTATGTGGCAGTCATGTGATGTGGTGTAGGACTAAGCACTGCTTGAAGTGCCATTTTGTAATGATTTGTAATTACTCATAAATATCTTTTATTATTTTATAATTGACTACTATTTCATCAGATTGCAGTAACAGGAGAACTAAACCTGACTTAAATTTAGGTGGATACGCTTGGACTTGCAAATGAAGTGCCCAGTTTTCTAACTCAAAGCCCACTTAGCTGGTGTTCCTAAAGTTAGTTATTTGACACAAGAATGCTGTGGTTGCCTAAGTTGGAAGAAACCTGTATTTCAAAAGCTTGATCTCTCACAAGGTGGTCTGTTCTGGTATTGTATCCACTAGCCCTGCTGGTCATACTGTATTGGATTCTGGTAGGCTTGTGATTTGATCACAAACAAAATACATTCTGTTGGTTTATTTTGTATAAAAAAACAATCAGAACATATGGCCCAGGCCTGGTTCTGTTTAAAATAACAATAACCACTTATCTCTATCTATTTTGTTAACTGTTCAGAAGTTAGTAAGCGTGCTTAAAAGGATAAATGTTTTTAGTATTTGTTAAATGATTAGAAAGTCAGGGAAGTTGTTGTTTTATGGAACAATAGATTTGCATTTTAAATAGCAAGAAACCTCATTAGGAACAGCTGATCTCTCAATTTGCACATGCTTGTTGAAAGACACGTTTGGATGACTGAAGTGTTCCAGACAGACCTTTGGAACTTCGTATCTCCAAGATGACTAAACTGGACTGCTTCACAATGCTGCTCTCTGTGAAATGACAGCTCTTACTTACCAAAAGCTGTTAAATCTATGCACTTGCTTGGTATCTACGTTACATTTCTTAGTACAGGTGAATGAGACAGTATACATTTATCACTGTTCTTTTTCAATGCTTTAAGTCTTTAAGTATTTAGAAAATGCTCTACCTAGCTTAGCAATTCTGAAGACCAGTATTACAGCACTACAAAGACAATCTTGATATGGAAAAACAAGAATTTCTTTTCAGAACTGCTCTTTTCTGAATGTATTTTTGAGGAGCTCTAGTGGAGGTAACGTATTAGAAAGTTGAAGTCAATTCTTAAAGTATCTTGTGTGATACTCAATTTCATATGTGAGCAGCCACAAGGGCAACTTAATATTTAAATTCACTTATGTTGACTCCCAGCTTTAATCCACATGAAACTCCTTTGCAGAAAATGATGTTGTAGGTCTTACTGAATTTACTGATGTGTTCCAAATTCTTCTTGTCTCACTCTGTGTACGTCCTCAATCTTGCAAATACAACTGCTTTCAGGTGAATAATGTGTGACATTGTTCTTTCTTGGTTATAGCAAGCAGATGAGACTCTGGATTTCGAAGAACAGATCCTGGAAGCAGCTAAATCCATTGCAGCTGCTACCAGTGCCCTTGTGAAGTCAGCTTCAGCAGCCCAGAGAGAACTGGTGGCACAGGGAAAGGTGGGTAAGGAGGACAAGTAGCAACAGTAGCGGGGGGAAGCATGCAAATTGAATCTAGTCTCTTAACTGTTCTCTGTTAAAACAGTAGGAAAGGAGCTTGGGAATGACTAATGAAAATGTAAATCTTTTCATTGCCCATCACAATATATGGCCCAGGCCTGGTTTTGTTTAAAAAAAACACAATTATGTTTATTTAAACCTCGCAAGTGCAATCAAGTGTTTGGCTCTTCAAATGTTTCAGCTGTGGGGAGTTTTTGTGTTTGTGCGGTTTTTTCATTTTGCGAAGATCTGTGATTCAAGCTAGTAATGTATAGTCCCACAAGACTAGCTTGGGGATTCAAAAACAAATGTCACAGTATACAATACCACTCTGGACCAGAATAGCAAAGGGTCTCACTAATTGTGCCCTCAATGTTTTGTTGTCTGATTCAATGGGGACACAGGCCTGCATGCAAGTTCAGTACATTTAAGTGGACGTGCTTGTAATTATTGTTGGGACCAACAGAAAGAGTGCTTATGTGTCATCCTTTTGGTCTGGTCAGGATTGAGGTCTTTGTAATTCATTTCATATCCATCGTGCTTTTTTCCCCAGTTAATATACTTTGAAACGTAAAATCTGAACATCAAACAGATATGTTGCCTGTGAGAACAACAGGATAGGATCATTGTTGTTGTATAGTTATGGTTTCCAATTTCATCTAATCCTCCATTCTGAGCAGACTGTGTCATGGATCGTGACACAAAAGCACTATGCTGTCTACTTCAGCTAGCATTCCTGGGGAGCCTGTGCTTTTAGTTCCAGCAGGAGGACAGAACACTTATTTCAGAACAATAGTGATGTAACTGTTTGAAAAGACCCACCATAAGCTGTAGCTGTGAAACTTCTGACACTGTCTCCCACGGCATTCTCCT